CGATGAACAAATTGTGACTTATAAAATTTCTGATTTGTGACTTATAAAATTTTTGATTTGTGACCGATGAACAAATTGTGACATATAAAATTTTTGAATTGTGACCGTAAAATAATTTGTGACGTTTCAATTTTTTATTTGTGACCGATGAACAAATTGTGACCTATAATTTTTTTGAATCGTGACCTTAAAATAATTTGTGACATGTAAAATTTGTGATTTGTGACAAATTAATAATATGTGACCAATTATATCGAATTTGTGACCAAATTATATGGAATTGTGACCTTAATATATTTAATTAATAAAATATATGTTTGATTAATTAATTTAAAAATATTTGAAATTTGAAATTTTAAACTTAAATTCTTAAATTTGAAATTGGTAAAACTAAACCCCTTACTTATGTATTGTTCCCTAATTTTATTGCATTCATTTATGAATTGGGCTTTATTGCGGGCTCTAATAATTGTATGAGCGAGCAAATTTTAAACAATGAAAAATTTAGGGAAAAATTCATTTCTCCTACTTTAACTATACACTATTTCAAAAATAATAAAACAACTTTCACATTTCAAATATTTTGACCTACACACACACACACACACACACACAAAATTAACCCACCCCCACCTCCACCACTCCTACCTCTCTGGCGATCGTTCCGGCGACTTCTCCGATTTCGGTGATTGTTCTAGCGATTGCTCTGATTCCGGTGACAAGATTTTTTTTGTACGGTCACAGCTTAGGTCACAAGTCATAAGTCAAAAGTCACAGCCCAGGTCACAAGTTACAACGTATGGTTTTTTGTTTATAATGATGCCTTACATTTTTGTTGATAGTCACAGGTGTACAGCCCAGGTCACAACTTAGATAACAGCCCAGGTCACAAGTCACAATCCAGGTCACAACTCAGGTGATAAGTCACCGCCCAGGTTACAACTCAGGATTTTGTTCATAGTCACAAGTTATTTTCAAATGGTCACAGCACAGGTTACAAAATATTTTTGCACATGGCTCATATTAATTTTTAGTCACAAATTGTCAAATTTTAAGGTCACAGTTAATTCATTATGCGGTCACAATTAGTCCATTATGTGGTCCCAGTTGGTCACGAAACACAACACAGATCGGAGCACCGCCAAACATCCAACGAAGCAGATTGGAGGAAAAAACCAACCCAAAAGCCCAAACCCAAAGCCGATGCACCCTACCACGCCGCTAGAGATTAGGCCAACTACAATTGCCACTATCACCACCACAAAACCGCCCCCTGCCACCGCCAAAACCATCACCACCACCGCCACCATTGGCAAAACAACCACAACCACCACCATTTTCAACCCCACTACTTGCAATTCTAATTGGAAGAGAATTCTGTGGTAGCTAAGGGAGAATATATATGCACACACGAGACAGAAACGAGGAGAAAGCCGGCTGAAAATCTAGTAAAATTGGAGGGGAGCCAACTGAATAGAATTGAGAAAAATTGGTGCAGTCATCGGCAGAAAAGAATTGAGGAAAATTGTGAGTGGATATATTTTATTGTTTATACACATATTGGAGAGATTAGGGGTTGAATTGAGAAGGATTAGCCGGCATAATTGGGGAATTTACCTGCATATAGTGGGCGGTAGAAAAGTGGGCTGAAATACATTAATATACACTCAAATGCCGGCTGCTTATACACCAGATTTTTACGCAGCTCAAACCTTGAAATCACCACGGCAATCAGAAAAACACTCCAGATCCGAAACATCGCACCCGACCCCGCCACCGCACAAATCGAAAACCTCCACCGCACAGTTGCGACGCTATCCAAACCACCGCACACCTTATCAAAGAAAAAAAATAGAACCACGACACCGCACCGAACGCGACACAGCAGCATCAGAAGGCCTTGCAACGACGGCCTTGGGATTCTTCGATGACGGTGCCGCCACCAACACCAACCGCCACCCCGACACCACCGCCCCTTCCACGCCGCCGACAAGGAAGAGAGAGATGGAAGGAATTGACTGGTCACTTGGACGAGAAATGAAGAATTAGGGATTTAAAATATGTGGGGTGGGAGGGGTAGGGTGTATATAAATTAATTAGGTTTTGTTTGAAAATTATATATATTTAATTAAATATAAAAAACTTGTATCTATATATGAAATATCTGATTTTTGAAAAAATAAACATCATATCTGATTTTAGAATTTGAGTCTTGAAAGGTAGGGTCGTGTGTAATTTCCACAAAAAATTATCATGGCAAGCAAATTTAGCTTAATAATTAAGCCATTTATTTGGTTTAGTAAGAGGACAAGAAAAGTATATTCTTGCTTTATTATTATTATTTTAATATCATTGAAGGTTATATTCGTCAAGACTTTTGGTATAACTTTACCATCTTCTTAAAATATTATCTAATAACAAAAGTAAAAAAGGAAAAAAAAAATTTCTTTTTCCATCCCACGTTGCTTGGATTAGTATCATAAATAGATACCCCGATTATTCTATCTAACCATTAGAATCTGATTCCTTTAGAAAATATCTCCTCTTGTACACTACGTGAATAAAATGTCGAGACAATTCATAGTCCTAACATAGAGATGCAAATATACCCGGGCACAATGTTAATTTTCTTAGTACAATGCAAAGAATGAATGCTTCTTAGCACGAAGGAGGAAAAGTGACTAGCCTGGAATGCCATCTTTACGAGAGGATTATAGTAGTAAAATATCTACTGAAATCGTCCCTGAAATTGAGATCTTATACTACATGTACGCCTATTAGAATCCCACATTGACTGGTGATATTAACACGATCCACTTAATAAGATGAGAACAATCCTTCTATAACAAGCCGGTAGGTTGAGTTAGACCCAATATCCTTTCTCATATGGTATCAGAGAAGGTTTAGTTTTGCAATGTTGGGTGCACCAAATATCGATTTGTTTACAGTTATTTGGCATGGTCCATGCTGTGCGTGAGTTGGCGTATTAGAGTTCCACATTGGCTGGTGATATTTACATGATCCACTTAATAAGGTGAGGACAATCATCTCTTAACAAGCAGATGTGCGTGAGGGGGCGTATTAAAATTCAACATTGGCTGGTGATATTAACACGATCCACTTAATAAGGTGAGTGCAATCCTCCCCTAACAAGCCTATTTTGTTAAGTTGAGTTATGCCCAATATCATTTCTAATACCAATGTTTTAAAACATGATCCATGCTTAATGCAAAAATTGCACACTGAAGTTCTAGTAATAGATGCATGATAAAAACAAAAAAAGAACATTTTGAAATAGTTTTAAAAAAAAATTCAAACATTATATGCGTCAAAGTAAAATGTAAAGAGTCAAAGGTTAAAAGATCAAACTGTTAATAAAAAAAAAAAAAAAAATTGGGGTGAAACAGTCGCTTTGTAAGTCATTTTAGTGGTTTCTAGTTTTTCGGAATTTTACCTATATTAGTTTTTGATTGATATTTTATTTTTTCGATTGAATTTATGAGTTCAACTCGATTATGATAACATTTACCCACAACATCATTTCATAACCAAATATTCTATTTTGGTTAGCTAAAATTAATTTTCTTCTCCTATAAAAAAAGTGGTTTCTTTTTTCAAGCGGTTGTTGAAGCATTTAAAATAGGACCCTACTAAATGAACTAACTTTCTTCTTACTACACCATGAAAATCACATTACACAATCATCAACATGACTTTATATCAAAATCAGATTTGATGAATCAGAGTGGATCATGCCACGTGGCATTTCAGTGTTTCTTGATCTATTTGTGTTAGGGCTTGTTAGGAGAGATATCAATTTTCATGCCGAACCTATTCTAACTTAGATTAAATGTTCCCAACTGCATTTGTATTAGGTATTACAGTTGAAGAGATGAGATAATACCAACTTCTAAAAATGGTTTAATCCTCTCTTTCTCTCTCTAGAGGGATGTCTCGTGCTCATGACGTGTATGTCTCGGATGAATTATATTGAATTATTGCATAGATTATCTTATTTACGAGATAAATAATAAGAAACAAATTTGATGAAATTTGATACATAATTTTCTTGAATTATTATGATTAACATGTTCAATGCTTTCGATTGTACTAGACTAGACAACAAAGGAAAATGATGAAATTTGATACATAATTTTCTTGATCCATCATTTTCAATTACATAAAGTCTTATGTGGGTTTTAAAACAACATGCATATAATATGCAAGTATGCAACTAAAGCATCATTAGACAATTGAAATAAGTAACGATTAAGAGGGTGCTATGTGGCCAGGCCACATGGGTCGTGGCCATCCGGAACGCCACATGGCGCCTTAGCTGGTGTTTGGCCCTCATTAATTTTTTTTTTAGAATTTTTATATTTCTTAATTTTAATCACACATTCTTCAAATAAAATAATATTACATAAAATTCTAAAATTTTTCATTACATTTCAACCACACATTCTTCCATCGATCACTGTTCCAAAATTTATAACTTCCCCAAAATGGGGGCCAAATACATGCTTAATCAAATATTTATCTGCCCACTTCCTCTCTTTTTTTATACTTCGTACTCGATTAGTTTAAAATAATAAAGATTAAAAAACTTAAACCACGTTTTTCTGTACATCTTAAGAACCAAATGAAGTCAATCTTTGGTGTATCTACCTGTATCTCTGTTTCTCCATAATAAATATCAATGTTAGAGAATCCTATTAAACTTACAATAAACTGGATTTGCTCTCCTTAATCTCTGTAAACTCTGGTTTCCAGGAAAGTACTGTTTGTGAGAGAAGAAAGGCACATTCATAACTATTCTTCTATAGCCTTCAAGCTCTCCCTTCCATGAAAGGCAAGGGATAAACCTCATCCCCCACCCCACCTTACTCTATCCCCCAAAAAACCCACCTCAAAACCAAGGGATAAACTCTATATCTCTCGAGTCTTGCATTTTTTCTCTCTGTAGTATCCATTGAATTTTGCAGATTTTCATTGCTGCAATGAGAAATATTGCTAATTGTTATAATGAACATGCTATAAAAGTATCTGATTCTTATTGTTCAGGCCCTTCAAATCAGGCGTCTCAACCCCCAAACTTGAGTCCTTCAATCCAAAATGCTGTTACATGTATCTACAAAGTCAAACTCTCAACTCAGAAGCAGTTCTTGATCAAACTCACTTGGTGCAAACAAGGCTTCTCCGTTGGCATCTTCGATTCCAAATTGTGTAAAAATTTTCGGGTTTTACGCAAGACCAAAGGCGCCAAAACTTCTGAATCCTGCAATTCAAGAATTGAAGTGTTTTGGGATCTCTCTCAAGCTCAATATGAAATTGGACCAGAACCAGTTAATGGATTTTATGTTATAGTATTGATCAACTCAGAGCTAAGTCTAACTCTTGGAGACATAGAAAATGAACTGAAGAAACTCATTTCTGATGTAAAAGTTGGGGAGTTTTCATTGATTTCTCGCAGTGAACATTTCTCAGGTAATTCTGTGTATGCAACCAAGGCTAAATTCAGCGACACAGGAATATATCATGATATACTTATCAAATTCTCAGCAGAAGATGGGGGATTAAAGAATCCAGTACTATCTGTTTATATAGATAAGAAAAATGTTTTCCAGGTAAAGAGATTGATGTGGAATTTCCGCGGAAATCAGACAATTTTTCTCGATGGATTGTTGGTGGATATGATGTGGGACGTCCATAATTTGTTTTTCAATCCATCATCACCAGGAGATGCAGCTGTTTTCATGTTCAAGACGAGGAATGGATTCGATAGCAGATTGTGGTTTGAGGAGAAAAATTTGGAGATGAAAGAACAAGAAAATATTGGATTCTCTTTGTTGATCTGTGCCTGTAAGAATACAGATTGATTCCACCCCCTTTTTATTTTGCATCTTAGTTTGATAAATTTTAAAATTCTTCTTCTTCTTCCTCTTCTTCCTCTTCTTTTTTTTTTTGTTCAAATTTCGTTCTTTATAGTGAATGTATAGATCAAGTTTTATGACATTCAAGTTTTGTAATACATTAGGGGTTGTTCTCTTTGTGTTTCAGTTTTGTGTTTT